GTCCTGAAGTGCCTCCAAACACTCCCTGGCATCATCCCGACTCTGCTGCGATTGTTCTCATGCATTTCCAAGTCTCTATTTCACCTCTTTGGCCACCTAGTGCAGCCGCATGAAAGCAAGTGCTGATTTGATGTCGCGCAAAGTAGTGGTGCATGGAGAGGTTGACAAAAGCAGTGCTGTGCTTTTTATGCTGGCTGCCCTTGCAGCCAATGGACGATTATGATTATCAAAGATTGCGCTGAGGTCACACATGACTGAATTCAGGTCTCAAGTGCTGCGCCTGTGAGGCCAAGGTAGGGGTGGGTTCAGGGGTTTCGGCGGAGGTTGCACAGTTTCTCCACAAGGGCAAGCCTCCGCAGTTGAGGATGTTTGGAGCAGGAAGGGACAACGCCGCACCTATGGCACTCGGTATCTGCTGAAATTGCATTTCATATACATGAGGGTGAGCGGACGCCTCTTATGGCTTGTCGAGCACACCAGCGTTTTTGGGTGCTCGGAGCTGTCATGCCGGTGACCACTGGTGCCCAGAGAAACTACAAGATGCTCCCCTTCTCATTGATCACACATTTCCTACCACTTTCTGGACTTTGTACATGAAGGATCGACACAGCAGCGTTGCATCAGCACCACGCCGAGGTCCTCCCCGGCCTGAAGGGCACACGTGCCACGTATAAGGTGTGTAACACGTCCAAATAGTATGTTGTGCAGCCAGCCATTGCTTCAGCGTGGGAGCAGGGCTTGAGTGTGTCACCGCGATCAAGCGCACGACCATCCAGAGCGGTCTACCTCTGTACGTTGGTCGCAATTTGACACATAGAACGATCGAGGCTCAAACCACCTACCTTTGCTGCGCGGCGTGCAGGTTGGACTTGAGGCGCCAACCCGCCAAACATGCGTTTCCTTATCCTCGCCCTGGTGGGGGCTGGCAGCCTTCAATTTGCGGCTGCTGCACGTGAGTTCTATTAGAAACCAGCTTGCTTGCCGCTGCGATCGTTCCTGCCGGGGTGCGCACCCAGGGGTGCGGCTGTTCAGCAGTACAGCTGAACAGCAACATGCTGCATATCGTATCACGGGCCCTTGTGCGTTGCTCGACCTGTGTTGCGCTTGACCCCCTGATCGGCCTTCATTCTCGAATTCTGAACGGGTGAACAAACCATCAAAGGTCATAAGCCCGTCAAGGCCTGCGCCGTGCAGCTCAACGCGTGGGACCAGTGCGGCGGCAAGAGCGGCGCCCACTGCCCCGGCCCAAAGTGCGTCGCCAAGCAGTGGGACGCTCACTGCTGCCCGGTCGGCTTCTCTTGCGTTCGGAACGATGATTACTACTTCAACTGCCAGGGTCAGATGAACAACAACAACTGGAGCAACAACAATAACAACCAACAACAGCAGCAGCAGAACCAGAACCAGAACCAACAGCAGCAGCAGCAGCAGCAGCAGCAGCAGCAGAACCAGGCGCAGCAAGCCCCGATCGAGGTCGTCAAGCCCGGCCCCGCCATTCCCATGAAGCGCGCCACCAACGGTGCGCCATGCCACCAATCACTGCCCCCCTGCGCTCGTGGGCGCACCCCCGCCGCGCCGGCTTTGTGACGCGCGCACCTAGCAGCACCCCTCTCTGCTAGCGCCGTCCCCGGCAAACGCGCCTCCAAGCCTGCCTGGGCACACCCCTTTCTGAACCCCTGCAGGTGACCCCGCCTACTCCGACGTCCTCGGCCTGTCCTTCATGTTCTACGAGGCCCAGCGCAGCGGCAAGCTGCCAAAGACCAACCGCATCACCTGGCGCGGCGACTCGGGCGTCACCGACCGCGCGCCCGACGGCCGTGACGTCAGCGGCGGCTGGTACGATGCGGGGGACAACGTGAAGTTCAACCTGCCCATGGCCTGGACCACCGCGGTGCTCGCCTGGTCTGTCTACGAGTTCAAGGACGTGAGTCAGGGCGCCTGGGGGGGGGGGAGGGGGTTGACGTGACCTCTGGGGATGCTTGGTCCCGTGCTGTTTTGAGGCATGGGACGCGGGAACGCCCCAAGGGGAGCTGCGGCGTCGGGAGGAGATACAGCAACAGTGATGGGCCAAAATGTGTGGGCGGGGAAAGTCTGGGCTGCGCAGGACCCGAAGGGCGCGCCTTGCACAAAGAAGGGCCCCGGCCCAACCAGGGCGCAGGGGTGCACAGCGCAGGGGCACGCCCCGGGCCCATTGGCCAAGTGCTTCAGAGCAAAACGGCCGCATTGCTGAACCGCCGTCCTCTTTCGCTGCCTCCACCACAGAACTACATCGCGTCAAAGCAGTACACCACCGCCCTGGACAACATCAAGTGGGTCACCGATTACTTCATCAAGTGTGTGGGTGACGGCACCGAAATCGTGGGCCAGGTCGGCAACGGCAACCAGGACCACGGTGAGGGGCTGGCTGCTGGGGCAACATGTTTGATGTAACACCAATCTGCCAACTGGGGCAGGCCCTGCGGGGGCGGCGCTGGAGTATGGCGGGTGCGCATGTAGGCCGCTTCACAGCCGAGGGTGCCCAAATTTGTTGGCCTGGCCTGATTGTGACCTCGAGGATTTGCCAGCATACTTGCGGTGGGCGACCCCGCAGGCAGCACACGCTGCCGCGGGCAAGCACATGGAGGAGGACCCACCGCAAACGCTCTTGTGCGCACCCGTGTCAATCCCTGCTCCCCGCCTCGCCCTCCGTCCCCCCCCCCCAAGGTGTGTGGGGCCGCCCCGAGGACAAGACCCAGGCCAACCCCGTATACGTCCTCACCGCCGACAAGCCCGGCTCCGACGTCGTCGGCGCCATGGCCGCCGCCCTGGGCGCTGCCTCGGTCGTCTTCCAGGACACCAATCCCGCCTACTCTGCCCAGCTGCTCGCTGCCGCCCTCAAGGCCTACGCGTTCGCGACACAGCACGTCGGGCTGTACAACAACGCAATTCCCGATGCGGCCAACTTCTACCGGTCAAGCAACATGTACGATGACATGGCGTGGGCGGCCACCTGGCTGGCGGTCAGGACGGGCAACGCCGCGTACAAAACTGAGGCCAAGGCGCTCTACCAGAAGCACTGGGCCACCGAGGACGGCAAGGGCGTGTGGAACAACTTTGGTGGGTGGGGCTTGGGGCAGCAGTGGGGATCAGGGTGGGGATGGCAGCACGCTGGGCCGGGCGCGTGCAGCTGTCTTTGAAACACACGAGCAGGGGTTGAGATTTGGTCAATTGCAGCCGCCTGGCGCCCGGCTGCGCACACCTCGTGGATGCCGACAGTGCTTGCTCCCTTGCGCGACTGCTGACCTGCACTGCCGCCTCGAGCTCCCATCTTGCTGCAATAGCTGAACAGCATGCACGCTCCCTCGTAACCCTCAACTCGCCCCGCAGACTGGGACAGCAACTCCTGGGGCGTGGTCGTCTTCCTGTCCCGCTGGTTCCCGGAGGACACCTTCTACAAGACCCGCATGGCCGACTTCGTCAAGGACTGGACCCAGGGCGGCGCGTGGGTCAAGTTCACGCCCAAGGGCCTGGCGTTCAGCGGGGAGTGGGGCAGCCTGCGCCATGTCGGCAACGCGCTGTTCCTCATGGAGGCGTACGCCAACGGCGCCGCGGACGCCGCGCTCACCAGGAAGGTCGACTGCTTCGCGCACGGCCAGGTGCGGCCCGGGGGGTGCGCCGGGAGGGGGCGGGGGTGCAGGGGGCAACGGGCGGCGGCACTGGGCGCCACGGCGTCTACATGCACCGGCGGCCGTTGGGCGGCTTGGGACGGGCCTGCAACAGGATCTTTCCCACCTAAACCCTGCCAAATATCCCCGCGTGCTTTGCATCCCTGATCTTGCTACCTTTGCCCCCTCACGTGCAATCCTCGACAGATGAACTACATCCTTGGCGGCGTCACCGGCCACTCCTTTGTTGTGGGCTACGGCCCCAACCCCCCGCAGCAGCCCCACCACCGCGCGGCCAGCTGCCCGCCGCTGGGCCAGCAGTGCACCTGGGACTACTTCAACAGCCGCGCGCCCAACCCCCACACGCTGTACGGCGCGCTGGTGGGCGGGCCCAACGGTCAGGACGTGTACGATGACAACCGCAACAACTTCATCCAGAACGAGGTGGGTCTGCCCGGCATATGGGGGCCTGCGCTGCCGTTGGACTCTGCCGGTGCATTGGGCTGGCCTTCACGGCCGCAGAGCGTGCGTCTGTGAGCCGCTTTGCCCTGCGCAGAGCCGGCCGCTCACGCGTCTGCATCCCTTTTGCGGCCTCATGCTTGCAACCAGGTGGCAACCGACTACAACGGCGGCTTCACTGGCGCCCTGGCCGGCCTCATCAGCCCCGCCGTCAGCGCCAAGGAGTGCGGCGTCAAGTACCTGAGTGCCTAAGTGGCCAAGTGGCTAAGAACGCCCCGAGCATTCCCTGGCAGTACCGCCCCGCTCCGCCGTCTGTGGCGCGGCGCGCTTGCGGGCCTCTGAAATGAGTGGTAACAGCAGCAGCAAGGGCCGCAGGCGCACGCCCCGCACTCAACCTGAGTAGCGATTTATGTTCAGCCCATGTGGTCCCTCTTATTGCTCGTGTTTGTTTATGGGTGTGTGTGTGCCCGCGCACGGGTCACGTGACGGCAGCAGGCTGCCACCTGCACCAGTGGCGTTGTGCTTGCTGACAATGCGCACTAGCCATGACTGATGCAACGCCCGACCGACCTGCGACCCCCACATACCGGTGCACCACGCCATTGCGTGGGTTTTGTGTTATTAGACATGCGCTGTGCTGCGAAATGCACGGCGGGCACGTCGCGCTGAGGAAGCGCGGCGTGCCTGATATAGATTTATACACAACAACTTTTGATTAGCCACGCCAGCTGAACCCTTTTGATCTGAAGCTTCATGCCATGCTTGATTGCACCTATTGCTGGTATGGCGGTCAACTGCGCACGTGAGAGGGCGCAGCGACCAGCCGCCGCGTTGATCCTCGCACCCATTTAACCCACCCTTCACATCTTGCCTGCCAGAGGGCTGCGTGACAGCACATGCACAAGCTGTAACAAACAGCACCCCGAGCATCATTTCAGCCGCGGCTGTATGGAACAGCACGCATGTGAAATCCAGTTGGCAGCGACTGACGGCGGCAGGAAGGTCGCCGCTGTGGTCACACCGGTCTGCGCAGTGCTGATGTTTGCGCAGGCCACTCGGCAAACGCGCCAGCGGCACAAATCCATAGTGATGCAGGTGCGAGAGTGAAGCACAAGCACAAACAACAGCTTTTTACACCTTAAATATCGTATGTAGGCTGCGATCGCCTGGCATGCAGCAGACGGTGCAACCGCCGCCCTGAGACATGCCGTACTTGACGGTATCCCAACAACTGGACCTTCCGACCGCGCACCTGCCGTCCACATTTGTACTGTAACCCCAACTTGGTACAGAGAGATGTATAAGTCGGGATCAAAGGCATCTTCTGCGCCAGGGATCTCAGGGACCTCATTTGTGGCATCATGCCTTTTCGTCGCGCCGCTGCTTTCAGTCATGTGTGCGGGCTATGTCGCCATTGTACAGCGTTACCCAACCGTGCGCATGACCTCACAAACACAAATACATGTTGATATTTTGAGTTTTCAGCAATCGAGCGCGAACGATGAAGCCGTGAGTTGCGTGTCACCGTGAACTGGATCAGAATGGCAGCGTGGGAGCTGGCTTCCAACGGATTGGGAGTACCGACAGATGAATGTGGCATCCTAACGTGAGCACCGCGCCTGCCGAGGCGCGACGCGAGTTACTTTAGGGTCGGAGCGCGGCAGCGCGCACACGTCTCGCCGCATGCTGTGCGCCCCAAGCCCCATCCTCCGCCCCCGACCCGCAAATTGATCCGCCGCTCGCGCACCTCCGCCAACACGCCCTGTTGCAGCCAGCTGTATCTGAACAGCAGCGCGCACGCGCAGGAGGCCGCGTGCTCTGCTCTGCTGCAGCTGCCGCAGCCCGCCGCTGAGCGCTTCCTCATACAGGTGTGAGGCAAACCAACGAGGCACAGAGGATGAGGGAGGGGGGGTGAAAGTGCGAAAAGTTCAAGAGCACGGAGCGCACCGCCGCTCGCCCCTCAGTGCGTCAGCGAAGGCCCAGCGCAGGCTGCGCCTCGGACGAGGTCCATCTCTGGGCCCGCAACCGCCCAGCCGTGCGCCTTTGAGGGCCCTGGCGCCAGCAGCCTGCGGGGCTGACCCGCACCCGGGCGCGGCCCCATCGCCGTCAGGCGACCAGGCTGCCTCGCCCCTGGCCCCAGATCGCCGCGAGAACGCGCGCCGCCGCTCATCACCGCACCTCCCCCACCGCCCCTGCTCTGCCAGGTTGTGTACCTGGCAGTAGCGCGCCCCTCCACCTGCCTGGAGCGCGCCGTGGTGGAGCTCTGCCGGACGTCGCTGGGACTCGCGCTGAAGGTGCGTCTGCATATCGTCAGTCTGTGGGGCAGAAGAATTGCCATGGGGCAAAAGCGCAGCGAAGAAATGCCGTTGGGCAAGTGAATGCTGGGAGCGAATAGTGTTGTGGGGCAGTGGCGCTTTGTTAGCAGGTCCGCAAGTCAGGCCAACCCCCGCGTCAACAGCAGCAGCGGCGGGGACAGCGCGTTTTGGTTGTTGTGAGCTTGCGTTCGGCTGGAAGTGGGAGCAGCCGGTTTCGTTTGCCTAAGAGGAGCTTGCCCTGGCCACAATGAAGACATCAGAGAGCGGGTGCTGCGCCTGTCAGCCTTGACAGCAGCAACGCCCCACTAAGCTCTCATGGTCGCCACAAGGAACACGCCGCGCCCGCGGCCCAACTGCACCCCCAACGCGCGCGCGTGCGTCGCCCCTGGTCGCCTTGGCCTGCAGGTGGCGTGGCTGCTGCTGGCGCTGCACCTGGACCAGCCCAGCAACCGCCACCTGGCGTTGTTCAGGGAGAAAGTGGAGTGCGCGGCGCTGGACGGCAGATGGGTGGGCGGGAAGCGCGGCGGGGCGCGGGGCGAGGGGTGGGGAGCTACCCGGGTGCTCCAGCCAACGTGGCCCTGTGTGGATGAGGGGCCCTGTGTATGAGAGGCTGCAGCTGGGGCCGCGTGGCGGGTGCTCACGTGCGGGCAGCACACGGACGGCGCAAAAGCCAGCAAGCGCGGTGTCAGGGATGGCAGGGGTGCTCGGGCGCCTCGGCGGCCGCAGAAGGGTGCAGGGCGGAGGCGTGGCGCCGCCGGGTGCGTTGGGCCACAATGAGCCCTCCCTGACCCGCCCTGTGCGCCCGCAGCCCCTGCCGATATGGGACCTGACGCGACACCTGCTGGCGCCGGGCGCCGAGCTCAGCGCAGCGGCGGCGGCGGCGTCATCCTCCCTGGGGGATTCCTTTGTGGCGGTGCCGCCCAGCAGCATCGGAGCCAGGCTCGGCTCGTCGGGCGGCATCGGGCGCTTCCGCGCGTCGTTCGAGGGCCGCAGGGGCGGCGGCGGCAGCGCCGGCGGCGCGAGCTTGAGCGACGGGCAGCAGCACCACCAGCAGCAGCAGCACCCGCAGCAGAAGCAGCGTCATCATGCACCAGGGGTCACGCAACCGCTGCTTGAGAGCGAGCGCCGCGCTGTCGTGGGGCGCAGAGGTGAGGGGAGGGAGGAGAGCGAGGGCGAGGATCTGGCCCCGCGCGATCTGGAGCCGCTGGAGGAGTTTGAACGCCGGCTGGGACAGCTGCATGACGACCTGGGCGACGGGGAGGGCGTCACCGCCCTCATGCGCGCGAGCCGGCAGGCCGAGGAGGCGGCCATCGCCCTTGACAGCTTCAGCGGCGGCGGGCGCACGCCGGCGCAGGCGCCGCCTCGGAGCGTGGGCGGCAGCGACGTCGGCGGCCGCGCAGCGGCCGCGGCGGCCGGGGCCCCGTGGTTGGTCGCTGACGAGGCGGAAGACACGCGGCTGCTGTCGCTGTCTGGGCTGCTGGCCGCGCAGCCGGCCGGAATGGAGGGGCGGCTGCGGCGCGACCTGTTTGGGGCGAGCATGGACTTTGTGGCGGCGCTGTGCGAGGCGTCGCGATGCCTGACGCGCTTCCAACAGGTGCGAGGCGCTGGGTCCTCGGTCGCAGCCCCTGTGTCCGGGCGTTTTGATTGGCTGCGCTGCCGGCGGTCTCGGGCGTGACAGCCTGCGGGGGACGGTTGCTCGGCGCGCTGCAGGGGCTGCGGCTGCACCCTGGAGCGCCTGGTCGGCCCGTGAAGCGCCGCACACAGATTTGCGAGGCCGTGCAAAACAAACGCGCAGGCGGAGCGGATGCCCGTCCTGCGCCGCTGCCTGCGCCGCATCAGCAACGAGGTGGAGGCGGCGGCGGCGCAGCAGGTGCCTGTCCTGCTGCCGATCGGCGGCGGCGGCGGCGGCCCGGCGGAGCGCGTGGTCCGGCTGTGCGCTGACGAGGCTGTCATCTTCAACAGCGCCGAAAAGGTGATATGAGCCTGTCCGGCGCCGCGAGAACGTGGGCGCAGCCGCGCGTGCCTCAGCCCGGGCTTTCGGGGCCCGGGGCTTCCTTGTGTGGTGGAGAAGAGCGGCTTGCGTCATGTGTTGGCGGCCGGCGGCCGCGATCGCGCCTCTTGCGCGCGCCTGCGGTATGAAGCAGCACATTCACAAGTACCCTTCTCATCGGGTGATTGCATCCAGGTGCCATTCTTGCTCACCGTGGAGGTGATTGCGGAGGACGGCGCGCCTGGGGACGGCGGGGCCGCGCTTTCGCCACTGGCGCGGCAGCGCTCCAGCCAGCACGAGCAAGGGGCCTCCCTGGAGCTGCCTCAACACCTTAGTCAGCAGCAGCAGCAGCAGCAGCAGCAGCAGCAGCAGCAGCAGCAGCAGCAGCAGCAGCAGCAGCAGCAGCAGCAGCAGCAGGATCCCGAAGCGGCGCAGGGCCGTGAGGGCACCGGCCAGCAGCAGCGGGGGCCGGCGCGCGGGGCGGCGCCAACGCCGTTTCCAGCCCTTGAGGGAATGAGGACCCCCTCTCCTGCACCCTCTCCCACCTCTCCAGCCCGCGCCCCTGCTGCGGATGGTCACGCGGCGCCTGGGCCGGCCGGGCCTGACAAACGCGCCGCGGTAGCTGCTCGCACCAGCAGTGGGGATGCACACCGGTCGCCGCAGCCGCAGCCGCAGCTGCAGCTGCAGCCGCTGCTGCCCGCTTCAGCGTCCACCATGGGCCCGCTCAAGCTTTCGCCATCTCAAGGCGGTGGCGCGCACGTCCCCACCGCCTTGGAGCTGCAGATGCAGGAAGCTGCCGAGCGGCTGCGCGGCGGGGGGCGTCTGGTCAAGGTGCAGCTGCACGTCTTGGAGGACCCGATGTTGGCTGCTGCAGCAGCTGCCGCGCAGCTGGCCCTCAGCTCGAGCTGGCATGGGGACGGCGGCGGCGGCCTTGCCCTCGCAGGTTCCGGGCAGCTGCCGCAGGGCGGCAGCTGCAGCTGGCATGCAAGCAGCGGCGGCGGCGGCAGCCTCGACGCGGCCGGCGGCGGCGCCTGGCTCCACGGGCGCCTGCCATTCGCCCGCAAGGGCAGCGGGGGCGCGGCAGCGCAGCAGGCACCGCGGCTGCTAGAGCTGCGCCTCGACGTCTGCGCGGGCGCGGGCGTGCCGCTGGGCGTCACGCCCGCGCCGCGGCGCGGGCGGCGGCGGATGCCGTCCTTGGAGGCGATCGACATGCTTGCAGGCAGGACGATGGCGGGCAGCATGGCGGCGGTGGCGGACATAGGGCCGCCGCTGCTGGTGCCGACCGGCGGGAGTGGCGCCACCAGCGTGAGCGGCAGTGGCGCCGCGTCGCCCAGGGGGGAGGTGGGCGGCGCGGCGGGGGCGGCGGCGGCAGAGGAGCACGAGCAGGAGCGCGAGCGGGTGGGCGAGACAGGGTCTGGCCCTGCGAAGCGAGCCGACCCGCACCTGGCAGTTATTCAGCAGCAGCAAGAGCGGCTGTCGACCGAGCAGCAGCCCGCAAATGGGGTGGCCGACCAGCCAGCAGCTGCGGGTACTGCCGCAGAGGAGCGGCTGGCCACTGGCCGGTCACTCCTGGGTTGGCTGCTCGGGCGCGACGCGTTGGTGGACCCGCAGCAGGAGCAGCAGCAGCGGCGGCGGCGGCGGCGGCCAGGGCCGGACAGTCACCACCAGCACCAGCAGCAGCACCAGCAGCAGCAGCAGTCGCCATGCGCTCAGGACGACGCGGCGGCGGCGCAGGACCGGGTGCGCCAAGCGGAGGCCGCCGCGGCCGCCGTGTACGGCGAGCGCTGGGCACACAAGGTCCGCCGCCTGCGCCGCGCGGCCGGCGCGCGCGCGGAGCAGCCGGGGTGGGCGGTGCGGGCGGTGATCGTGAAGAGCGGGGACGACTGCCGCCAGGAGGCGCTGGCGCTGCAGCTCATACGCGAGTTCGGCGCGATCTGGGCCGGTGAGCGGCACCGTTGACCTCGCTTGACTGGGGGGAGGGCGGACGTTGGACCAAGGGCGGTGCACAGTTTTCAGCTGGAGTGGCTGAGCCGGCACCGCCAGACCCGGTGACTGCAGGCAGTGCAACCGTTCAAAAACGATGGTGGCAGCGCCGGCTTTCGCGCACATACCTTACCCCACTCACATCGACCCACCCGTCCTCTCGGCCGCGCCCTCGGCTGCACGCAGAGTCCGGCCTGCCGCTGTGGGTACGGCCGTTTGAGGTGGTGGTGACGTCAGACGACACCGCCCTGATAGAGCTCATCCCTGACGCCCTCAGCGTGCACACGGTCAAGGCCAGGGCGGGTGCGCGGGCAGAGCGCGACCAGGGCCGCGGCGGGGCGCGGCAGGGTGTGCGACAGCATTTGTAGCGACAGCGGATGCATTGCATGCACTGTATGAAGTCTTAGCCGTGGGCGCTGCTGTTGGTTGCAATTTTGTGCCTGTCCAACTGCCCGTGGCTGCTTGGCTGGTGCCTTTGAAGGACCGCGTTGTTGTGAGACGGCCCTAATTGGGGCAAACTCTCGTAGGTCACCCGACTTGCGTCACCCCCTCCGACTGCCAGGCAGCAGCCTGTCAGAGTACTTCTTCCGCCGCTACCCGGCCGGCAGCGCCGCCTGCGCCGCCGCGCAGCGGCGGTTCACAGAGTCCCTCGCGGCCTACAGCCTCATCACATACCTGCTGCAGGCACGAATGATTGCGTGACGCAATCCGGTGCAGTGGGTTCGTTTCTCACCCATGTGGGGGTTGTATCACCCGTGGCTGGTTCAGACGCCCGCCGCAACCCACTCCCCTCAACTGACAGCGCGGTCTTGCCCAGCCCGCCATCCGCCGCCCAGCCTCAACCGACGCCTTGCACCACGGCGGGGGCGTTGCCGCGTCATCAATCCCTGCTTTTCACGCTGCGAATTTGAATTCAAACCGTCCGGCCCCAGGTCAAGGACCGCCACAACGGCAACATCATGCTGGACGACCAGGGCCGCGTCATCCACATCGACTTTGGCTTCATGCTCACCAACGCGCCGGGGCGCCTGCCGGGCGGCGTCGGGTTCGAGAACGCGCCCATGAAGGTGGGGATGGGCCGTCTGCGCTTGCGCAGGCGGCGGCGTCTGCAGCCGCCTTCGGCCGGCTGTGGTCAGCAGCAGATTCTGAGTGCGCCTTCCGATTGCTCCTGGACTACAATATCCCTCTGGTGCCCCCTAGTGCTGCATTGTCCCAATGTTATGTGTTCCTGTGCACATATACCTGGCTTTGCGGTACCTGAGGCGTGTGTGTACTCATCTCCGCCTGGTTTGTCCTCATCCGCACACTCAGCTGACGCGCGAGGTGCTGGAGGTCATTGGCAGCGACAGCAACGGGGCCCCCTCTGAAATGTTTGACTACTTCAAGGTTTGCGCCAGGGGCGCGCGTGAGATGCCATGACATTGCAAATGCAGAGGCTGTCAGCAATCCTTCCGTCGTCCCCTCACAACGGTGGCTGCTGGCTGAGCAGGTGCCCTGGTGCTGGCTTGCTGGACATGTTTGGCTTATCTCGTCTCTGCTGACGTATCCATCTTAGTGGAGGTCCCCTGTTATTAGCCGGCCGCCCCCTCCCAAACCCCAACCAAATCAGGTCCTGTGCATACAGGGCTTTCTGGCGGCGCGCAAGCAGCGCGACAGGATCGTAACACCCGTGCAGGTGCGCCGCCGCGCGGCTCCGACCCCTGCCGCATCGACGTGCGACCGTGCTTCCGGGCACCCAGCCGCATCCCAGGGGTCATGCCCCAGCCTGAATCCAAGGGGCCGGTTTGAGCGATGTCCCGGCCTGGAAGCTGGGGCCCCTCGCTGCTGAGGCAGCGCCCTTTACAGAGTCCTGTGGTGCCCCACACCGCGTGTGCTCGCCTCATCAGCATGACCGCACGACGTGTCTGCCCGCCTGAAGCTCCTTGCATAAGGCGTTGGTAGGGTTCTACACGATCAACTGAGTCTGCAAGCAACCATTGCAACCATTCACCGCGCTCTGCGCATTGGCGTTCCTCGCCCGCAGGTCATGGCGCGCAGCGGCTTCCCCTGCTTCCAGGGCGGCGGCGACCGCGCCGTGCGCGCGCTGGCGGCGCGCTTCGCCCCGGCGTTGAGTGAGGGGGAGGTGGTGCAGCACGTGCTCGGGCTCATAGGTGTGTGGGGTCCCGCTTGGGGGGTTGGGACGGGCGGACGGGGTTTTGCGGGTGTGCGGAAGCTGCTTGACGTACTGGCGTTGTTGGTTTGGGGAGTTTTGTTGACTTGCACCTGTAAGGCTAGGCGATCCGGCGGCAGCAATGGAGCTGGCGCCCTCCGGAAAACCAGGTCTTCTCTCAAGGCACTCTCTCGCGGCGTGTGTCGGTTGCTGCCGTCCTGCTGGCGCATGTGCGGCCGCCACGTGACATCCTTGTGTGTACCCGTTTGCTGCAAACAACCCCTTCCCACATCTACCCCTTTGGTGTGCTGGCATCCCGCAACCCATGCTGCGCCTGGGCTGTCCATACCGCAGGCGACAGCTTGGACTCCTGGAGCACTCGGCAGTACGATTACTACCAGAGGGTGCTGAACGGCATCCTGTAGTGCTCTGTGAGAGCTTGCTGAGGGGCAGTGTGTAGTCTATGAGTGACAGGCAGGGGTGTGCCAGAGCAGACGAGTGACGTTGATTGGCATCATCCCTTACAACCATTAGCCTGGCTGCGGCAGGGGCGGCGAGAGAGGCTCGAGGGCGCCGCCCCGCGAGTTGCGGCATGTGCTTTACACTTTCAATATCGTGCGAGGCGTTGCCAGCACTGTGCCAACCTCGTGTACCCTGTGATTGACGGCACGGCGTTGCCTCTTGTTCTTGACAACAAATTGTAATTTTCTTGGAACATGCACCTGTGCCGCCAGCGCTGCAGGCCCACGTGAGTGACCAACGAACGATCAGCCAACCACCGGCGACACCTCGCTCGACACCGTCAGTTGCCCACGCCCCGACCACACACCCCAACACGCCGGCCGCAGCAGAGTGGGACAGAATGCAACTCAAGACCAAGGGCGTCTTTTGCATGACATCGGCGCTAGTAACCCGCCAAACCGCGAAAGGTGTGTTGATTTCAACGCGGCGCGGCAGCTGTCGAGCTGCGTGCTTGTGACGTATGCGACCTCACGTTCGTCGACTAAGCGTTCGACATCAAGCTGGCAGTTGTGTTGCTGCGTAGCGTGTGTCGGCTGCCTTGCCCGTGCTTGTCACACTCTAGTGATCCACGCTCATTAGTGGCATTCCGAGCGACTCTCGTCCCTCCTAAGGGCTTCATGACCACGACCCCCAGACTACATCCCATTCTCAGACTGCAGAGCCGCACTGTGTGCCACCTTGCCAACGGCGGTCCCCCGCACCCGCCTGATTGCCCGCACCCGGCCAACCGGAGACGGCCCCCGCCCGCCCCACCCCAGCGGCCCACGCTACGCACAGCCAATGTCGCCCGACCAGCCAGCACCCGCCGCATTCGGCGAAGCGCGGCCTGCGGGCGCGGCGATGTGGGTGCCATGCTTCATATTCGCACACCTGTTTGCGGCCTTCTGGATCTGCCGCGCACTGGCCAAGCTAGCGCCAGAGCGCTGTCGCAGGCTGACGGCGGCGCTGCCTTTCTGCCGAGGTGAGGGGCCCCGGCGACGAGGGCCCCGCCCCGGCGACGCCGGCGGGCCCGGCTGCCCAGCAGGCAGCGGCCGCAAGGTGGTCCCTTGGTCACTACAGGGCTCATCGGGTCATCACTTTCGGCCCGACAGGCGCTCACACTCTGGGCTCTACGGGCGGTGAGGCCCGCCTTGTCATGACCTACTTTGTCTCCTCGGCTCCGCTTCGCAGGCGCGCGCAGTGAGGCTGAGCCCGCGGTGCGCGCGGCGGGCGACCTGGAGGCGCCAGGGGCTGCACGGCCGGGCGCCGCGGCGCCGCTGCTGTTGGAATGGGAGGGCGTCGGGTGCGCTTACAGCACACCTGCCGGCATCAGGGCGGTGCTTCAGGTGCGGCACCCACTGCACCAATAACACAGCTGTGTGTGTGAAAATCGCTCGCCCACATCAGCTGCAATAGTGATAGCTTGACTTCGCCGTGCGCTCTCTGCCTTTCGCCGCCTTCCCCACAGCAGCCCCGCTGCGCCGCCACCACCGCCTTCCATGCCCCGGCATCCCTAAGCTTGACGTCTGAATGCGCCTGCCCCACGCTGCCGGCACCGGACCGCAACCCTGTCAGGACGTCAGCGGCGCGGCCAGGCCCGGGGAGGTGCTGGCACTGATGGGCCCCAGCGGGGCCGGCAAGTCCACGCTGCTCGACATCCTCGCGGGCCGCAAGTCCGTCGGCCGCCTGGCGGGGCGAATCGCCGTCAACGGCGCCGCGCGCGCCGTCGGCGGCCGCGGCGCCGCTGCCGCCGCTTTCACGCCGCGCGTGTCCTATGTGCCGCAGGAGGACACCTTCCTTCCGACGATGACTGTCGGGGAGACGTGCGCGCTGCACGCCGTGCTGCTGCTGCCCCGGGGGACGCCGGCGCGTGTGGCGGGGGAGCGGGTGGAGGGGGTGCTGGCGGCGATGGGGTTGCTGCACGCGCGAGACACCCTGGTGGGGGCCCTGCACCCCCAGTGGTGCCTGCATGTTTGAGAGAACCAGGCTGATGCTTTGTTTAGAGGCAAACAGAGGGCGCCTGAGAGTGATGCGGAACAGCGCGATGGGCGGCAGTTGCCCGGGCAGACCCCACAGCAGACGCTGTTTGACATGATTTACTGACACAGCGTTGCAGGCGCTGCGTTGACCCAGTCTCAGCCCCGTTGACTTCCGGGCTTCCATTTCATCCCCAACTGCCGTTGCCGGCCGCAGGTAGGCGGCGTGCTGCCCGGCGGCCTCTGCCTGCGGGGCCTCAGCGGCGGAGAGCGCAAGCGCGTGTCCGTAGCGGTCGGCACCCTCGCCAACCCCAGCATCGTATTCCTGGACGGTGCGCACGCCGCTCGCCCCCTTCTCGTTCTATCTGGACGCCGTTTGCTTGTTTCCCGGCGCTGGCTGCCGCCATGCACTGCGCCTCGCTCTGGGTGCAGCCAACCGACCCGCCCCAGCTGCCGCCGCGCCCTGCTGTGAGTCGTTGCGCATCCAGCTTCATCATTGGAATGATTGTATCAATACGCGTGCAGGGCGAAAACGAATCTTGACGCTGCTAGGCCCCCACCCATCCCCCTCCCTCCCTCAGAGCCCACCAGCGGCCTGGACAGCTGCTCTGCGCTCAGCGTCACGGAGCACCTGCGGGGCCGCGCCCGTGCGAGCGGCCTCACGGTGGGAGGCCTCCCCCGCATCCGCCTGGCTGTGTGTTGCCCGTTTCACCTGCCTGCGTTGGCTCGGCTGGGCCACGCTTCGACTCTCCTGCATGAACTTGTAACATGCACGCGACCGCCGCCCCCGCGCCGCAGGTGATCGCCTCCATCCACCAGCCCCGCGCCGCCGTGTGGGCCTGCTTTGACGCGTGTTCGATCCTCTCCGGCGGCCTGCTGCTTTTTACGGGCCCGTGCGAGGACGTCGTGGCCTGGTTCGAGTCCATTGGGATGGGCCCCTGGCGGCCGGACGTGCATGGGACGTCGATAGACTGGGTGATGGATCTGGTGAATGTGGGGTTTTCAGGCAAGCAGCAGGTAAGCGAGAGGTGCATGCGTGATTGTGGGGTTTGGGGTTGAGGCCAGCGGGCTCAGGAGCCGCGCTTGTCCACCCTTTGCCACAACAGACGGGATGCAGCAGCCACGAGCGTGCCGGCATCGGTGGGCTTGTGAGAGGTAGTATTTTTGCCTCTGCGCCTCTTCTTGCTTGGGGCGCAGCAGGTCGGGAGCGTGGAGGCTTGCGCGCGTGCTTTGACCAATCGTCAACGTGTCACCAAGCTCTGCCGTCGAGCACTGATTCACTCACCGTCCCGCCTGCTTCGGCCTCCCCCGCCACCCCGCCACTCCGCCACCCCGGCCCCCCAGGCTGACACAGGTGGCACCATAGGCAGCCGCCCCGAGCTGGCAACGGCCGCAGCTGCTTTCGCAGAGTATTACTTATTGTGTCGCCCGCAGCTGCCGGCAGGGCGCAGCGCCGTAGGCGCCCCAGCCAAGGCCGCGGCCGCGGGCCAGGCCGCGCCCCGTCTGGACGACAGGCGCTCGCTCTCACTTGACTCGCGCTCGCGCGGGCACGGGGGCGTCGCCGTCGGCGTGGTGCGCGCAGGGTCTTGCACAGAGTCCAGCAGCTGGGACCTGGAGGTCTGCAGCGCCCCCTCCAGCAGCGAGGACGGCGGCGGCAGCAAGGGCGCGGCGGCTGCGCGTGCAATGGCTGCCTTGGGTGGCTGCCGCGGCGGCGGCGGTGGTGGCAAGGCGCAGCTCGGAGCCGGCTGGCGCGCGACTGTCAGGTGTGGGTCAAGGACGGATGATCCCATGCCGCTGCAACTGGCTTCGAGTCGCTGCATTGGTTGAGTTTTGTGGTGACGTGAGCGTCGGGGCACCCTGCCCGCCAAGGTCGTGCTGCCACCCTGCCCTGCTGCTGCGCAGCCAGTCGCCCCTCCCCTGATTACCCGCGTCCCCCCGCGTCGCACCTTTCACGCGTGCGTGTGCGCACCGACGGCCCTCTGCCTTCCCCAGGGCGCTGCAGTGGCGTGAGTTTCTGAGGATGGTGCGCAACCCTGCTGACGTGGCAGGTGGGTTATGCGCCGGCCGCCCTTGCTGCATGCACCACCCGCCTGCACCCACCCTTTCCCCACCACGCGTGCTCGCGCTGCGCGGCAGCTGCGCCGCCCAAGGCAGCAACGCAGCCCTGACTCCGTTTCGAGCTCAGTGCCTTCATTCATGTCCAGAAAGTTGCATTGCGCATTGGCATTCATGAATCATCATGGTCACTGCCACGCCTCAGCACTCCTGCTCGCCCGACCTGCTGCTCTTCAATGATGAAACCACACCCAGGCCGCATGCTGGTGTTCTGCTGGCTGGGCGTTCTCTGCGGCCTCGTGTTCTGGCGCGCCGGCGACGACGCGTTTGGCGCGGAGGGCGTGCGCAACCGCCTGAACGTCCTCTTCATCCAGGCGCAGCAGTACCTCCTGATGCCGTGGGTCACGCCTTCCCGAATCCCGCGCAGTGATGTAGTGCAGACACCAGCACCCTCGCGAGGCTGGTGTTCGCTTTCAGCGTGCGTGCCCTCCTGTCCTGCCGTTGACCCCCGCACCGTCTCGCTGCTCAGCCATGACCTATTCTCACACTGTTTGCCAACATCCCTTTCGGCCACGCCGCTCACCCTCGCGGCGGCGGTTTTCACAACACAACCCGTCCAAGCAGGTACGTTTACATGAGCCTCTACACGGCCGACAAGCGCCACTACACTGCTGACATCAGCGCCCGCCTGTACAGCCCCTCGCCCTACTACGCGGCCAAGTCGCTGGCCGTGCTGCCCTTTGTTGTAGCAAACGTGCTGGTGCGGCTTTTCAGACTTCGCTCGGCTCTTGGCTGCTGCTTGAACATCATGGTCGGACACACCGTTTTGCACTCATACACACCCCATCAAGGACATAGTATTGGGCATGTTTGAGCGCAACGCGCCTGGCAGGAAGCAGCTGCAGGTACAGGAAGCGACTGCAGCAGACAAAACACCCTGCAAACATTGGTGCATGGGCGTTGTGCGCCAGCCTGGACTGCTGTGCAATTCTCGCGCCTTCCCTTGTGCGCAGGTGTGTGCCCTGGTGAGCTACGGGATGGTAGGGCTGCGGCTGACGCCGCTGGGCGTCGCCGGCAACAGCGCCAGCAGCATCCTACTCTATCTGATAGGCCAACAGGTATGCATGTGTGTGTGTATGTGTATATGTGTGTTTGCGTGTGTGTGTGTGTGTTTGTGCAGGTGCATGCGTACGTAGGTATGCGGCAGGGTAGTCGCCACCGCTGCTTTGTCCAAGTCTCACAATCAACCAGCCTCTTACGCCAGCCCCTGGTAACAATCACAATCCTGGTCCTGATGCCCATCCCCCACCTCTCCTTGCTCCCCGCTCCTGCCCCTTGGGCTCCTGCCCAACCTCACCCTATGATACTCTCCTTCAACTTGCCCCTCAACCCCTGCTCCACAGGTGCACTCCATGGCGTCCATAGTGATGCCCAACGAAGACACCAGCTTCCTCGTCACCAGTGAGCCCCCACGTGTGGCTGCATGTCTCCATGGCTGTGCGCTTGCTCAGCTCGCGTCTGGTCTTATTGCATGTCTGCGGTTTGAGGGCGTATTTGTGGTAAAAGCAAGGAGGGCCAGTCCCCAGCGTGCCACAAGGTCCGCAGCACAGAGAACCTGCATGGGGCGCGTCCACGTTTGGCCCTGTCGCGACCTGTTCGTCGCCGCTGCGCATGCCGGACCCCACACGGGGCTGCGTGTGCGCAGCACATCGCTCGGCCCGCCCTGCCACCGGAGCCGACCACCGCTCCTATCACACCCCGCCCTCCGGCCGCCACGCGCAGTCCTGTGGAGCGCGCTGTGCATGTACTTCTCAAACTTCATCATCCGCTTCGATGACATGCGGATGGCCTGGCTGTCAAACCTGCGGTACATCTCGGCGGTCAACTTTGCGTACAGCGCCTACATCAAGGCCGAGTTCCAGGGAGCGACCCTCAGCTGCGCCGGCGGCCTGATGGGGGACGCTGAGCTGGCAGCCCTGCGGGGCATGCTGCCCGCCACCCCGCAGCTCGCGGGGCCCGCCGCGGCGCGCGTGCTGGAGCGGCCGGGCGGCGAGTGCATGATGCGCATGGACGCCATCCTGGGGTACTTTGGGGTGCTCGACACGCCAATGTGGGTGTACTTTGCTGCGCTGATCGCTTACCTCGGGGTCGTCCATCTGGGCACCTTCCTCGGACTGCTGCTGCTGGCCCGCAAGGAGCGGCGCTGACAGTGCGGCCGCTGCGGCGATACGGTGGTGGCGGCTGCACCATCGTCGGTGGCTGGCAGCGCCTATGACGATCGGCAGACCCGTTAGAGGGCTGACCGCCTGGCAGGCCGGCCACCCGCGATCGACGCAAGTCGTGCAGACTGTCAAAAGCCTGACCAGGCGCGCAAACCCAGAAACTCGCACCCCCACTCGCGCACGCGCACGCGCACACGCCTTGCGTAACGAACACCGTCTGCTGGATGCAGGCGGCTTGCCTGTGCACTGTCGTCAATGCACAGCGCGCTGATCAGATGTTCGTCGGGCGCTCACATCATCCAAATTTAGTTTGTGTGCAGGCTCGCTGGTTTCCCCCTGCATCAGACGCGCCAAGGAGCCACTTTTCATGGCGCCGGCCGCGGCAGAACCTCGGGCACTGACACATCAGCTACAGCAGCAGCCCCAGAGCGACGCTCTCTCGACAAGTATTGCTCTTGCGGCCTCATCTTTTGCGCACAGCTTCAGTTCCTTGCAACAACATTGGTGGGGCCGCGCAGCACCAACCACCATTGCACTGCTGTTTTGTGCACCACCCTCCAGCAGCCCTGAACCCTGACCGTGCTTCCTGGAGACCGCCCTCGCTCCTGGCGCAAACCCGCAGGCGCCTTGCCGATGGCTGGCTCGTGACGTTGGGGTCCTTGTCAAAGGGGGGGAGGGCGGCGGCGCCTTTTTTTAACTCGCTGCATACGTTGAGTCCCTTCCCTGCACACGCATACTCTTAGTCCATGCATAGTTGCAAACGCATTCACTACTTGCTTGGTCTCATATTGCGCGCAAGGCTAGAGCATGTGTGCCACCCCCAAGCAATGACGCAAGCCACTGCCGGGGGCGTTGGTTTTTGGCGCCTCGATGATGGCCAGGGACGACAACCATCCTGGCAGGGGGTCAGGACTCAGGTGCCCAGGCCCTGCGCCTGCAACGACGTGGCACTCGCATATACTGTGCTTTGTACTGCCCACTTGACTTGGAGCGACGCTCTTGTGTTGAATCCTTCAACCCCCACGCTTCATCTCGAGGACGCTGCACGCGCCGCCACAGCTGAGCCGGCCCTTATTCTTGGGCCTCGTGAAGCGTGCTAGACACCCCTGTTTTCAGCCCCTGCTGCTGGCACCCTTGTGGGTGAGGCGCCGAATACGCCCTGCTTTTGGCGCGTGCTCTTAACCCGCCGGCCGGATGCAGGTTGCTCGCATCAAGCCATAGCGCTGTCGCCCTTATCAGCTGTCTCGGTTTCGCAAATGTCGAGGGGACAATCTGCCGTATCACGGTTCCAGAAAAGAGCACACATGAGGTTGCGTTGAGGTAATGTGGCGCCATCCAGACTGACGGCTGATACAGGCAGTCCTCCACAGCCAGTGCCACTGGGACCGCTTGCTCACCTGACCCTACAGCAAGCTGCCTGACCACCAGCCACACGGTGGGCGAATCTGCCCTGTGATGCCCGGCCAGGCCCATGCATCACGGCTGGAGGGACGAAACCGCGGTGCGTTTCTGCGCGCAAACACACGGGTTCCCGGCGCTGGGCCACGTCTCCTCACTTCCACCCCAGCCCCTCCGCCCTAGCCCCTTGCCTTGAATCCTCCTGGGCCCCAGAACTATCTGTGAATTGGCCTGCATCCGCACTTGTTCTGTGCACCTCTTTGCCCACATTTCAATTGCCCGCCTAGGCCAGCCATTTGCAAGAAGAGAAGGGCGCTTCGCTTGAGCGACAGAGTGCGCACAGGAATTGTGCTGCTCCTCGCAGTGGGGTGCGCCGGCATCGCCATTCCTGAATCATGCTCAGGTGCATGCACACTCCCAACCAATGTCACGTTTTCTTTCCTGCCGTTCTGTCCTTACTGACTGAGGGGTGCGACACACAACCCAGGAAGTAGGCGTAGGGGGCCCACAACAGGCAGTGTCTGCTTGGCAGAGGCAGGAGGAAGGCCTCTTGGTGGGCCAGCCTTATTCCCAAGGTCGCAGTGTTTTGGGCGACGAACAGGTTCCGGGCTGCAGAGAAACAAAGCTTTTCACGACCATCACTGGGCCAGTACACGCCTGTGTTGACGGCTCACTCCAGTGCCCACATCCTGCCTCGGCTCGTCTAAACGCCCGTGGCTTCTTGTGAAATCTACACAGGGCCAGTCTGATTTACAATGCAAAGGACACGCGGCTGCTGCGGCGCATGGTCACGACTCCATCGGCGCCGCCCCGTCCCCGTCGCCGCCGCCGCCGCCCTCGCCCTCCGCCGCCGCCGCCGCTGCGCCGCCGTCGTCGGCCGCCGCCGCCGCGTCGTCCTGCGCGGCCATGGGCTCCTCGCCGCCGCCGCCGCCGCCCTCCTCGTCCTTGAGCAGCTGAGGGTGTTCACGAACGATACCAGGGAGGCGCATGAGCAGGTCACGCGGGCCACACCTTCTGATCCAACCCAGCAAAGTAGCGGATGCTCGCCAGTGCTCTGCGGTCGAAACGACAGCAGCCTCCCTGCCTTGCTGACTGCCTCCCGCCCACCCATGCACAAAACACACACACACACACACACACGCACACACACACGCACAGGCCCCCACCCCACGCATCCCCCCTCCACCTGGATGTATGGCTCCACGTCGTCGTCCTCCAGCACCACGAAGCTGCTGCCCTCCCCCACCAGCGCCACCGCGCAGTTGGCCTTGGTGAGCTCCCCCTCGTTCAGGCTGGCCGCCAGGGCGCGCAGGCCGTGGAGGATGAGCTCCTCGGGGGTGGCGGCCGGGAATGACTCGTAGTGCTTCTCGAGGTAGGTC